AATGTGTGTGTTGTGCCCTCCAAATTTCACCTCATTACATTTGGCAGGCACTTAGTAAGTGAAGCATACATATTAGCAATTACTCCTTTGAGCCTTCTGTATTTGCTAAACAGCAATGAAAGAATAACCGTAGCACAAGACAGGAAGGCAGAGAAAGTAGCACAGTCCAGGAATGGGCATTCTCCCCAGAGGTTAAAAAAGAATTTCTTTTCACTCTAGAACTTGAGGACAAATAATTCATCAAAACTGGGAGATGGGAATGCGAGAGTAAGAGTCAGCCTGTGCGTGTTGCCTCCCTGGTCAAGGCGTCAGCTTCTCCATGTGCAGCATGAGCTCACGTGGGCCACTGTGCTCAGAGGTCATTTGTGGCTTTGCTCCTGCTTTTGCTTTTTTCTTATTATTTCAAATTAACATGGAGAAATAGGTAATTTGGGTCTTTACTTATTCAGAGTCAAGCATGCTTGTTGTAAAATGATAGGATTTTAGGAATCTAAAGGATGACTATGTCCAAGAAGATAAATTAGTAATTCCCAGCTTAAATCTCAATGTAATTGATGTTAGAATTCTTTCGGGGTGGCTATGTTCCAAATTGAGTGTCTAGCATTTTTGGAGATGATTTGATTAGTTTGACTTTTGAAGGACAGGCTCAGATTGGGTAAGAAACTCCAAAGAATATACTTCAAAAAACTTAAAGAGAAAAATTAAGAAATAATAGAAAACTAGACAAAATTTAAAAAGAAAAAGGATTCAAATTCATTTAAATCATATTTAAAATACATAAAGCTATTACAATATTCCTTTCATTTCTACTAAGCATATATGTTCCTCTTATTCTTTGGGATTTCAGGAATTTTTGAGGCGGGAACACTCCTCAATGTGTTCTACATGGTATACTGGCATTAGCCCTTCGAGGCAAGAGTTGAAGTCCTAGAATTAAACCACAGAGACACAGAACTGCCTCAACCTCCAAGCCACCTGCACATATTTTTGTCCCAGAAGTTTGAACTGAGGATGGGGACCCAGGCATCTGTCAACATCCCCTTTGACTGCCACACTGCATTTCGATAGAAGACAAGGCTGACCGACTGGAGCCTCCTGATTCACCTTCCTGTAGGTGGCAGGCTTGGTCTTGGGGAAACAGGAAGGTTCTGTTTTTGCTTAAAACAAGATCAAACCCAAAACCTTTTCACATGTGAGTCCTAAAACTGTAAACCCGAAACCCTTTTATATGTGATTTCTAAAACTGTAAACCTGGAACCCTTTCATATGTGATTTCTAAAGCTGTAAACCCACAACCTTTTCACATATGAGTCCTAAAACTGTAAACCCAAAACCCTTTCATGTGTGGTCTCTAAAACTGTAAACCTGAAACCCTTTTATATGTGATCTCTAAAGCTGTAGACCCAAAACCCTTTCATATGTGATTTCTAAAGCTGTAAACCCGAAACCTTTTCACATGTGAGTCCTAAATCTGTAAATCTTCATATGTAATTTCTAAGGCTGTAAACCTAAGATTCTTCCACGTGTAATATCTAAAGTATGAGCCTAAATAAAGGTAGAAAGTTCCTTTGTTAGACGAGCTGGGTAATTTGGAACCATCGCTCGGCTCCCAGCTGTAATAATTGTAATAATAATAATAAACTCCTTCCTTCCCCATTCAGTGTTCCAGGGAGCTGTTTCCCACGGCCTTTCCTACTACAGAACCATGTCTTAGGTAAAGAAGAAAAACAAAGGTCAAGACTAAGTTTTATTTTCCCACCAACTTACACTCTGCAAGGTACTCTAGCTGGAGGGCTTGAGAAAGACAGCAATATTGCATGTGGGCAGCAGACATCAAGGATTTGTGGACAGTGGTAGCTAGAGACATCATATTACCCACAGCCCACAGCCTTTGGGACATATTAACCAACAAAACACTGGACTCAAACCTACCAAAGAAGCCGCTCCACGCTGTCCCTGCACATGCTCTGGGGAGACCTGAGGACTCAGTGGTGACTGTGCCAGGGAAGTCCCCAAGGCAAGATCTGTCAGGAGTGAAGGGCGTGGCCAGCTGGCTTTGACTCCTAGCAGCACCTGTTAGAGTGTTTGATTGCGTTCTGACTAAAAAGGACATTTGTTACCCTTTAGCCAAGTTTTTTAAAAGAGTGTTTTTGAATATAAAACTAAAATACCATGTGTTCTGAGTCCAGTGGAATTCACAAGCACCTGTAGGCATCTTAACTACACTGGAAAATGACTTTTCAGTTACCTAACATACCATCTTCCTTCTGCTACCTTACATAGAGACTGTACAGATTTTAATTAGTAATTCTCATCATGAATCTTCTGGGTGTGTGCCCGTGAGGATTACTTAACTAAGCAAAAGGGTAAGATACGAATTTATGTGTTTATATGCATACTTATATTAGTGGCCCAAATTGCTTCTGAAAACTGTACATAAATAATTCAACATTAAAATATTAATTCTACTTCTAGCCCAGAATGATTTTTTAAAAATGTTTATACATGTGTTCAAATTCTCAGATCTTAGGAAAATAATGCTAAAAAATAAACGCTGTCGCTTATTTAATTCATATATGACAGGGGAAAGAGATTTTTGTAATAACATTGCTGTTTAGAAGAATCACATTTTAGTCTAAATAATCCAAATAAAAGATAGTTTAAAAATAGTAAAATGAAATTCAGAGGTAAGTATTGAGAAGCAAAAATAAAAAACCATAAAAGGAATTTTTTTAGGATGAATGGGTAATATTCTAAATAAAAGTATTGATGTTTGTATTTCTTGGCAGTGTATAAGAATTATGTAAAACAGTTCTTTTTTGTTAATTCCAATATAAGATATTAATCGTAGTTCAAATACCACTTTTTGATCAACATTTTGAATGGAAAATGCACATTTATTTAATTCAGAAAATTATTCTATTTATTACATATATAATAGTTTGGTTTGGATTGAAAATGAAAATATAAAACTGAAAAGATTTATTTAGGAAAATTTTTGATTCTTTAAAAACTCTCTAGGTTAAAACGTGATATTTTAGTAAAAATAAATAGCATTGTATAACTGAGTTTACATTGTAAATACAAAAACACAACAAAAAAGGAAAAGAACATCTCTAGGTGACACGAAATTAAAGTAAGCTCTACTACCAGAAATAAGAGTTAGTGCCTGGTTCAGTAAAAATGATTATTTCAGATAAAATCAGCTCTCATTATTAGATTTTATTTATGGGTTTTCTAGTATCTTTAGTGGTCCCTTTAAATGCTTTACAGCAATCTCAATAAGCAGCCTGGTCAAAAAAAAAAAGCAAACCAAAAAATCTCATTTATTGAGAGATGAAATTCTCATGACATTCTTTCCACATCCTGTAATTTGTTCCGCATGCCTCCCCAGTCTTAGTTGGTGATGAAATAAAGTTTAATGTTGATAAACTGAATGTACAAAATATATTTTAAAGCTAATCCTCTGTATAGCAATATTCTTATCATTGACAATACCACACCGTTGGATACTGATCGCTGAGTCATTTTCACAAAGTCAACTAGAGCTGACGTTCACAGCATTTAGAGTTCTGCTTTCCATATCTCTAAGACATGAGTTGTGTTGAAATTTCAAGAAATGTGTACTTGAAATACGTAAATGATTTTCACCCTAAGTCAAACGAATGCCCCAAGAATTATAAAATTAAACTTTATTAATATATGAAGAGATGTAGGTTTGATAAAATCATTGCAGTCATGAGATTAATTGTTCAGTATTTATACAACCTTCCATCCTTTAAAAATTTCTCCTTCATTTCAATGATAATACATTGCAAATGTGTTACATCTCTAATAGTCAATAATAGAAAAAAGGCCTTTAATATTTGATAATAAACTGAAATGAATACATATGTTCACTTTTAAAAGGAAGTCTATGCAGAACTTACGTCTATCCTATATGATTAGGACTATAAAATTGAATTTACTGATTTCCTTTTAAAAAATGAAAACTAAGATAAACAGAATATAATGCCTCACTTACTATTGGGCTTTGTTAGTGTGAAAAATTGTTATTTTTTTTAATCTTTGTTTTGTTTCGTTTTGTTTTTTAATTTTTTTATTGCATTTTAGGTTTTGGGGTACATGTGAAGAACATGCAAGATTGTTGCATAGGTACACACATGGCAGTGTGGTTTGCTGCCTTCCTTCCCCTCACCTATATCTGTCATTTCTCCCCATGCTGTCTCTCCCCACCTCCCCACCCCCCGCCCCTCCCCCATTTCCCCCTAATGGCCCCCAGTGTGTAGTGCTCCCCTCCCCGTGTCCATGTGTTATTGCTTCTTTTATTAAAGATCATCATTTCCTACTCCAGTTGGTTAAAGAAAGATATGTGGCCGGGCATGCTGGCTTACTCCTGAAATCCCAGCACTTTGGGAAGCTGAGGCGGGCGGAACATGAGGTCAAGAGATCGAGACCATCCAGGCCAACCAACCCTATCTCTACTAAAAAATACAAAAAATTAGCTGGGCATGGTAGTGCCCGCCTGTAGTCCCAGCTACTCGGGAGGATGAGGCAGGAGAATTGCTTGAACCCGGGAGGCAGAGGTGGCAGTGAGCGGAGATCACGCCATTGCACTCCAGCCTGGCGCCTGGCGACAGAATGAGACTCTGTCTCAAGAAAAAAAAAAAAAAAAGAAAGAAAAGAAAAAGAAAAAGAAAAAGAACGGTATGCATACGACATCATATTTAACATTTCAGAAGAAACCCGATAAAGAAAGTTAATGACTTACATTCAATGATGAGGTAAAGTTCCCATATCCTTTGCTAAATTTTCTAAATCAAAGGCTAAGAGTTTGCAGGAATTTTGTGAGGACCTACCTAATTTACATCCCAGTCCAAATATTAAGGAGTTTGCTATAGCCATTCTTATCTAATTATTAATCAGCAAACATTGAAATGCACCAAAGTTCAGCCCTTATTGCATGGCCTTTGTGAGGATAGACTAGAAAGGCAGGCTACCTTTATGCTTAATCCAAATCCTCCTACTGTTTGTCTTCTGATGGTCACCGTTCTTTCCTGAAAGACAGGATTTTTAAGAATGGTTAGTGTTTCCTAATACTATACTTACACATTGTTTTTTGCTGGTTTTTTTTTTTTTTTTTTTTTTTTTTTTTTTTTTTTTGGTTTTCTTCTGGGTTTTGCTTTTGTTCTTCAAAAAAAAAAAAAAAAGAAAGAAAACTCTTTTGTGGTGGCATAGAGTCTCCATATCTTGTAATAAATAGTCCTTGACTTTTAAATCAAAGGACTATTTGCTAAAAGGGATTAAAGTGTTATTAAACTCCTCAACTCTTAAAAATAAGTTCTTCTCAATGATTATATTTGGACATATTTTGAAATCTTAACTTTTATACCTCTTCTTATTTCCACATCATGTATACTTGTTTTCTAAGAAACGACAAGTTTTAGGTTGTATAAAAGTAACTCAAAGACAATGGTAAATACGATCTTGGTAAACCAGGGTCCTATCTCCATCACTTCCTGGAATTTGGGAGCTAAGCTAGGAGGCTGCCGTGGCCAGCACAGAAATAATTCATCTCTGTGTGTGTCTTAGATTGAAAGTGAATAAACCAGGTTCAAAATAAATTCATTGCTTGTTCATAAAATGAATAAATTACACATCTAAGTAATAATGATAATTGAATTACCAATTTTAAAAGTGAGTTTCTTGTCCCCTCCACAATAGAAGTAAATTGGCCACTGGCCCACAAAACTTAAAAATCACAAAGATAATGGCATGAGAACAAAGAGGCACATTTGGACAAATCCTGTAATTTTCTATTTGAAAAGTCCATACTGCTCTGTTTTTGGGCAGTCGGTGACATAGTGCTTATTGTAGAGGCATGCTGAGAGCTGAAGGCTTTAATTTATAGTCCGCTCCATTATTTCCATCTTCTTGAGCCTTCCCCCATGCAGAGCCATTTGAGACACTGACCCTTTCCCCCTACATCTGGAGTAGTTATTTGTTATCTGTGCCTTATATCTCTACAAATGCCTTTTGCCCTCATTATCCATTTTTAAATGTAAACACTGCCCTCATTCTTACAGATGAATTGCTTCCCTTATTCCCTTGTTCTATAGAAACTGTGTGGAGCAGATAATATCATTTAAAAATAACTAGGAGGAAATTGGAAAAATGTGTGCTTCGGATGGCTCTTGCTAAATGTTTTAAGATAGCATGTAACTCTTCATTTTGGCAAGGTTAAAAATTTCCTTTTTTAGCCAAAACTTTAATTTCTGTAAATAAGACTAAATAGTACTTAAAGAACAAGATTGCCAAACTAGAATTTGATGTATACTATTATTGACTTATTTTGAATTTTTAAAATAAGACTTTTTGATGAAGATTGGTGCATATTGACTTAGAAATTATTATTATTGAATGCAAAAGAGTAGCATTCAGTAATACAAGTTTTCTTTATTTTGACAATGTGCTGAGTAATTTTGTTTCAAAAATACTTATGTTACTCTTAAAATCTGACATCTACTCATACTTTCAAACCAACATTAAAATTATAATTGTACAAATAAGTTTACATATAATAATTTATGCAAAGCAACTTGAAATGTAAGACAAATTGTTTGTATCAAATAACACCACAAAGTATGTTTTTATTTTTCAGCCTACTGCTGCATTATCCGACAAATGCAAGCAGAAATATGGGAAGATATATTTTACAATTTATATCATAAAACCTGCATATAAACATGGCTGCATACACAAACGCAAAAAGGAAGCTGAATCAGGTACACTATAGGTACACAAAATCCACAAACAATTTAAAATAAACTAAGTATGTATTAGAAATGTGCTTTTATTGAACAGGACAAATGCAACCTGTCTAATGAATATTTATTCTTTCTCATTAAATGACACATTAGAGAAGTTGAATATTGCAAACAATATTGGAATTGAAGTTAGAGAATGTGCCGATAACTCAAATAGCCACAAATTCATATAGCTTCATATGTTCAGCAAATTACTTAAGCCTTGTGAACCTGTTTTCAAATTTGCAAAATGCTGATAAATAACACAAGCAATTAAAAGCTTTGTTTGGAGAATTAACATTTGTAAACAACCCTGGCATATAAGAGAAATTTGATATTCACACACACACACACACACACACACACACACACACACACACACACAATCTGATGTTTATACAGGGATTCTTATATATAATAGTCATTTTAATATATTTGTACTGTAGAATAATTCAAATACTGGAAGACTCAGATTCAGAAATAGGTGAATTAAATCCTGACTATTTTTCCTATAAAATAGATAGGTAAACTGCTTTTATAAAACTGACCACCCAACTAAACCAAAAATTCCTGGATGGCAGAAACTATTTCCATTTTTTCTGTTCTGTAAAAAATAAATATGTGATTCCTTAAAACAGTCTCAAAATCAATGGTGCAGTCATCTAGACAAACCATGTCAGCTGTCTTAAAATACAAATTTCAGTCAGAGCAAATGCATTTTAATTAGCAAATGACATCCCCTAAATGTTGTGGAGCATTTGGCATAGCGATCATTGGCCATGAGGAAAATTTGGTCAGTAATTGCTGCTCAGTAGCGAAATGTGTACTGAAATGCTGCTTTCCCTTGATAGAAACAACAGCATCCCAGGGTCTTCAAAGATCGTTTCTTTGAATTTCTTTACTCATTCTACGGAAGTCTGCCTTCTAATCTCTGGTAGAGAATATTTAGAACATGTTCCAAAACAAATACAAAATTGCTGATGCAGAAAACATTTTGGAGAGACTAAAGTCTCAGCAGAAACTGCCAGAAAATCTCAAAAACAGCACTTAATGTGTTTTTTAAACACCTGGGCAGACGCACCTACACATGCAAACCCCAGCCACTGCCTCCCAATGCTGCTTCTTCATTAGCTTACTTTTAAGAAAGTTAGGAGAGAAAGGGCAAAACTAATTACTTTGTGTTTTAAAACCAAGACCATACGTTGGTCACTGCAGGCAGTAGGAAGCATAAAAGGGCAAATCGCTGTTCTCAGGGTGGCCTCTGCTAATGTCCTCTCAGTTGTTTGTGCTGGCAGTAGCTCTGCCACTACGAAGGCTTACAGTAGCTTTACCCCCTTACAGCTCTGCTTCTTCCTTCTTCCCAAAAATAGATGCAATAGAAAGAAGAAATGAACCGTTTCAAATACTCAGCTCATAAATCAGGCAATACCTGGAAGCTGATCTGAAATTATATCTAGTTAACACATCTTGAGTGTCGTAAAGGCTGTTGCCAGGTAACAAAGCACCGTCCTTCAGGAGACCAAGGTATTGTCAGTGATTTCATTTTGTAAAACACAAAATCTGGGCTGATGCTCCCACACAGACTCATATATATATATACACACACATACATATACACACACACATACATATACACACACACATATATATATACACACACACATATATATATATACATATATATTAAAGAATCTTAAATAACATGCCTTTACTTAATAGTCTTATTCCTTATGAAAATGCAAAAGATTGAGTCCAAGATAATATCAGACTTTATAAAGATTTGCTGGACACCTAAATAATCAACATCAATGTTACAAAAAAAAAAGCCTTGTATTAAATACTTAGTATGCTTTGTAGAAAAATATAATTAGCACTGCTGCTTTTTGGAATATTACATTATATGTATATAGAGAGAGATTATATGAACTATATGGGAAGAAAAATATACATGACACCAAAGAAAGTTGGTATTGAAATTTTGAGATATATATGTGAAAAGATTAGGAAGAAATGGAAACATGCAGAAACCAAAGAGATGATCATTGGAGAACTATCTATACTAAGTTTGTATTACAAAAACCAATATACCATGTGGGAAAGAAAATAGAGAACATTAATAGTTCTTTTTGACAATTGAGGAAGAGTAGCCAAAGTTGAAAACGGGATAATGAAGATGATGGCTTCTAATTATTAAAAATTTACTGTATGTATTTATATCCCTCATAGCACTTGCAATTGTTTCTTGAAAATCACTATGCCCTTGACTTTTTTCCTTCAAGTTTTCTGAGAGCTGAACCTGTGTCTTACACAAAGTTATCTCCCAAGCATTTAGCACAGGTTCTAAATCAAAGTTAGGTATTAAAATGTTAAATGAATAAATATTCACTCAAACATTTTTCTGATTAATTATCACAGCAACCCACTGGTGTAGGAATTTTCTTTTCCTAATTAAGAGATGAGAAAATCAAAATGTAAAAGAGTGAAATTAACTTGACTGAGATCCAAGTTGTGATTGAAACCAAGGTTTCTCTGATCTCTGCTGTTCTTTCTATCCCAACAGGCCTGAGATAAAATGCAGAATTAGGATGAAAAAAAAAAAATAGCCCCAAACTGAAAACTCATGCAATGTAGTAAAAAGAAGGAGAAATGTGAGAAATGTAATATTTTCCCTATAGGATTGGGAATAAGGTCAGAATGTTCCTATTCACCATTACCATTCAACATCTTGATGTCCTAGCTAGTACAGTAACAAAACACTATGAAATAAAGGCTTACAAAATGAACAAAAAGAAAGAGAGCTGTCTTTGTGTTTTGTCAGTGTATAAAATTCCAAAGAATTGAAAAACAAAATTCTTTTGGAACTGGTAAGTAATTATGGCCAGTTCATAGAATACAAAATTATTATGCAAATTACATTGCATTCTTACATATTAGGTATGAGGAATTGAAATTTAAATTTCAAAGAATAATGCTATTTTCAATAACACATATTAAAAGGAAAATATTTTGTAGCTAGGTGTGGTGACTCACACCTGTAATCCCAGCACTTTGGGAGGCCGAGTTGGGTGGATCACTTGAGATCAGGACTTTGAGATCAGCCTGGCCAACGTGGTGAAACCTCGTCTCTACTAAATACAAAAAATTAGTCGGGCATGGTGATGCTTGCCTGTAGTCCCAGCTTCTAGGAGGCTGAGACAGGAGATAAAATTTGTTCAAAATATATGAAGAGATAACTGTATTCATGAATTGAA